CAGCCTCAGACGAACGAGCCAAGTCTTTCGCTGAAGACGAGGAAAACGTCTGTTTGGCGTCTCTGGGGCGCGGCATGGCAGAAACAAATCACTTGAGCCTGTCGATCAGGCACTGGCGCCAATCGACAAGTCTGTCCTGCCGATCCGGAGGCGACAACACCTGACAGGTCAGACAGGATACCGTCTCGACGACCAGGCCCCAGCGCCCACCCCCCGGCAGTGCTGGCTCGGGTCTTCCGGACGGAGACAACTTATGCCTTAACCGGTAAGGCGTTGGTACCAGTTGTGACCGGTTCGCCCGGCTACACTAAAGGCTACAGCACAAAAGCTGTATCTACCACCTCGACGAATCGGCCCACAATCACTCTGACTCTGCTGAGTCAGTGGGCTGTCGGTAGACGCTTCTCCCCCCCCCTCTCTCACCGGCGTCCGAGACAGACTCGGAGACGCCAAAAACGGCCCAATGGTGCCAATCGATCATGTCGTATCTTCTGCCACAAAAGACTTGTCCCTTTTCCTGGTTCTCATACATCAACTGTCAAATGAATCTATTAATTCCCGCAACACCACACCACGCCATGCAGACGGGCTCCTGCAGCCTGAGTGACTCAGCCTCCAGTCAGGCCAATTGGTACCATTGCAGCCCCTAACGCGGCACAGCAATCCACACCCCCATCACCCTGTCTGGCAGACAGGTATCCGGTGTTTTGACACCCCTTTCCGTCACAACAGCACCAGGCCTCCTCAATCACAACACATCCACACGAGAAGCCCACGTCTACAAGACATCACAACCCTCATGTTCACTTACACACACGAACGCAAGCGCGTACACACATGCATTCACACACATACATGCATATTTCAGTGCGTATATGCAGACACGCATACATATATGCATTCATACATCCATATATTCATCCATAATAACACACATGCATACATATATACATACAAACTAACACATATGAATGCTTGCATACATACATGCACACGCATATATGCATTCATAAGCTCACGCACAAACGCAGCTAACCAAAGGCTAGGGCGTCAAGTTAGAGACATTTCCCGACGAATAAAATAATCTCGGGAAGAAACACATTTGGCTATTTATCGTCGCCATCGCCCAGGGGACAAGTTCTTTTGAGACTTCTGCTTCGACTTTATATGAAATGCCAAGGTGGTGTGATGCACCTTCCCACGTCGGATGCCAATTATGTGAATGACTCGAGCAGAAGATACATGCTGGCCGAGTTTGCTGGTGCGATAAGACAGGGATTTTCAGGGACACTAATTTGGACGAAGCTTGATCAGGAAGCCGTGCAGAGGTTGTGGCACATGTGAAGAAGACGTGGCCACTTGAGGTGGGAGGGGGGGCTGGAGAGTGTGGATGGGAAATGCACCAAGAAATAGGGGGGAGCTGACACAACCATCCAACAGGAACTTTGTCAAGAGTATTGACGCCTACTCGCCATTCTAACGAGTTGTCGACCGGACCAGGTCACAAACGATGCCGAATCAGCGTTCGAGAATCCACCCAGTCAACAAATGCAGAGGACACAGTACGTAGCACGATCTTTCCAGTCGCCATGGCAACAGAGGCAAGTTGCGAAAACGAGCTCAAACCATCTTAAGAGATAGCGAGTATACCTGAGCAAAAGTGAAAGTGAAGCTTGATTTGACATGGAAGTAGATGGCACCATTGGTCCCGACCGATTTTGTCGTGACCCATGATACTGCATGACTTGCACAACATGCACGATCTTCAAGGATAAACGATTTACCTCTTTGGTGAGTAACTATGGGTCAGCAGGAAGCCATAGATTTGCCATTTACGCCGATAGGCTATTGTGGTGGTATGAAGAAAAACTGGGTTTCAAAGAATGCCTTAAAAAGAGTTTCCATTTCAAAAGAAAAGTTGTTTGGAAACATTTCGTGAAATAGTCTCGCCGTAAACCGGAGCAAGATTGCCGCTGCTGGACTGTGGATTTTTGCGAAAAACTCCTCGGCTAACCGTCCTGTGACCGAAATGAACCTGAGCTAAGCTTTCGTCTGTACCGTCGTGATGGGCAACATCATAGCAACAACCCATACTTTATAAAATAGAGAAAATGGGCCAGCTACAACCTTAGTCACATTTCCTACATGCGAAGAAATTATTTTCCTGACTCGTTAGCTTGAATTTGGTTGTGACGATGATGCCCTCTTTGCTCTGATGATGTTCGTCACATGACGGACGAAAGTATAGCACCTTTTCACCGGAATCGAAGTAGATCACCTCGGAAACAGCTTCACCATGAAAGTTCCAGTAAAGCCAATCGACAGCTGGTCTTCTGGTGCAATCGACCGTCGAATTTCTTCACCAAACACTTTCAATTGAAATGGAAGCAAGCACAACATCTTTTATGCACCTAACTTTGTGATCTTAATGAGACATTCCATAATTTGATTGGCCCCTTCAAAGTTAATGCATCTGCTTGCAAAGCATTTCACGAATTCCCTCCAACCAACTTTTCATTCACAAACGGAAAGTCATGTCCCACTATTGTTGTGATGTTGGCACCTATCAACTTGTCTGCCTCCAGAACACTCCACAGTTGTCTTTGTGCCCACCAATTCCTTGTATCTAACGTTCTCGCAAAAAGCCCCTCTCTCCTGATCTCTCTGTTGGTCTCTTGTAGACTGACTACCAGGTTGGGATCAAGGCAGGGAGGCCAATAACATTAAGGCGTAAAATATGATACCTTTTTTCGATTAAAGTATAC